CCATTCAGACCCACACACTATAGCGTGAACGATGTTATATTTAGAAAGAAAAAAAATGTCACATACTTTTAACGTTAGAAAACTATTTGTAGCTTTCTTTGTTTGTAGTTAAGCACAAAGCTAGAGAATGGGTTTTCTGTGCTTTGTCCACCAGAGGTATTGAAATCAGATTCTTAACGTTATAAGCCCACAAACTTACCGTTGACCCACTTTTTTTTGGGGGGGGGGCATTTCTTCGAAAGTTACATGATATGGAATAGGGATATAAACCAACTGAAAAATTAAAACAATCACACAAATTACAACCCATTCTTTAAATGCTAAGCCTATTTTACGAAAGATGTCAATGTAAAATATTTAAATTAGTCACTAGCTCACCTGCGATATGACCCCATTCTTAATCACTACTTACAGACAGTCGCCACTTCAAAAGAAAATTACTTTGCTGAGACTATTGGAAAATAATCTAACGTATAATTTGTAACGTATTTGTAACTCTACCATCAAATGAATATAATACTTTTTAACCTTATGAATATTCTGAAGTAACCCTATGAATATACTACTTATGTAGCCCTATGAATATGCTAACATAACCTAATGAGTGTCTTCTTATGTAATCCTATGGATATGCTTTTGTAACCTAATGAATATATTACTTATGTAACCCCATGAATATACTACTTATGTTAACCTATGAATATACTTTTGTAACTCATGAATATTCTAATATAATCTAATAAATATATTGCTAATGTTAGCCTATGACTAAACTTCTTATGTAACCCCATGCATATGCTAATATAACCTAATGAATATATAACTTATGTAACCCTATGAGTATAATAATTATGTAATCCAATTCATATACTTCTCATGTAATCCTATGAATATACTTCTTATGTAATGCCAATATCCAGTTAAATATGTTATGTAATACGTGTATTTCAGTCAGTCGTGTGAAGAAAGTCTAATATTGTATATAGTGTGTTTTACAACGAAGTAGAAATGAAACTGTATGGCTTCGATTTATTGTTGTAAAAATTCAAATAACGAACATAAAAAGAGTAATATTTGTTATGTAGATTGCCCGGAAGAATATCATCGATATAAAACTAGCTGTTTTCGTGTATTTAATGTTGAAAACAATTTTGAAGACTCCCGTCTACAATGTAAGAATGAAGGCGGAAAATTAGCTGTCATAAAGGACAGCCAAACTTTTGACTTTGTAAAAAGTCTTTTGATGATTGATACTGTTTACTACTGGATCGGAATATCAGATAAACAACAAGAAGGGGTCTGGGTCTTCGAGGACGGAACGCTGGCCACGTACGAGTTCATGACATCTAATAATATCTGGGCAACAAATAAGCCTGATAATTACACTCCACAACAAGACTGCGCAGTTATAGGGTCGACAATAGCTGGCAAAATCCGTCCACTTTTAAATGATGAAGACTGTTCCAAAACTGAGAGGTTCGTCTGCGAAACTCATTTTTTCCCTAAAACAGGTAGAGAATTTTTTATTTTCATTCTAATAATAATAATAATACTTTAGAACACAATAATAAAAATGAAAAGTTTCCATTTAAATGGCAGAAAACTGGTTTTACAAGAAAAAAGAAAAACGTCAAATAAATAGAGCATATATATATATATATATATATACTAATTATGTTACCCTATAAATATGCTAATATAACGTATTGAATATGTTAATTATGTAACCCTATGAATATGCTTTTGTTTCAGGAGTTACTTATTGGTTTTATTAATAAGATATAAATTGGAATAATTTGTATTTTTTATAAAGCAATAATTAAATTAAAATATCATATTGAAACAAACATCTAACCTTAAAAGGCTTGACAATTAACAATAGACTACCCTGTGTTTCTTGAAAAGAACTTGAACTGTGAACAATTATTAAGAAACCTAGCTCTCATAAAGTATTTAGACTTGTATTAACTTTTGACACAGAACAATAGACAATTTTGTATTTGTTTTTTAAATAATTCAAACTGTGAACAATTATTAGTAAACAAAACTATCTTAACGTTTGAGCCTTTGTCACTAACTTAACACAAAATATAACTTGTGTGAGAGTAGGTGAGTGGTTGGAAATGTTGATATTCAATGAAGTTTTCAGACAAAGCCAATTTTTATTGAGTAGCATTTCATACCGATGCCCTAGAGGAACTGATGAGAACTATAATTGTGAGTCGATCACTTTATGGTCTGTTGCTTACAGGCTGAATAGTTCATGTTGTGTGTTTGAGACTAGAATGTGCAAAATGTTTGAAGCCAACTATTAGTTTATATGTATTACTATAATGTATTATTTACTATAATGTAAATGTATTACTAATGACAATTTTTCTCTCACTTTGGAAGCTTCTTTTAAGATCACTGTCGGTAACAACGAGATAGAAACTTCCTTCTCAGGGGAAGCATATGAACCAGCTCTGTCAAACGAGTGTTTACAGGATGATAATCCACAACTTTCTGGCAATTGTTTGAACATAACTACTGACCAAATGATGCACAACTTCGACATCTCCTCGGAGAAGTATCTAAAGCTGGTGGATACTCTCGTGGCTTACAGGAAGAGCCTGGCAACTCCACTTTCAGCAACTTTAGACTATAATGACGATCACGTGGTGCTGTTCTTTCAACACAACTATGTTCGTCTTGAATGGGATAATATTAATGCCATGTGGGCTTGAATCCTGAACATCAGCGATTGAAAAGTCAACAATAGATAACCCTCACTGAATTACAATGTCGATAGCTTTTGCATCTAAAAATCTATGTTATATTATTACACATCAGAATGGAATATTTCGGATATGCTTTAACCTCACATGGCACACGCATCAGTATAAAAAAGCTAATAGTTTTTTGTGACACGGTAGATATGATATTAATAGAGCCTCATGTTGCAACAAAAATCAAGGTATTTTAAACGTGTTTGATGTTTATAACGAAATTTTAATAACCAGTTTTATTTTGCTGCATAGACATTTTACTAAATGTCATATGAATTGTTAAGGCTCAGAAGTTTAACCAGAATATTTTTATCGGATTAAAAATATTTCACAGTTGTTTTTTAAATCATCTATTATTATAATTCGCAAATTTTGCCTGACTTTGTCACTCAGTTTTTTAAGTACTCAATATTATGTTTCCAAAATCCACCATTTTTTACATAAAGCACCCGATGTTCTTACCGTTTACATTAATTTTCATCTTTATATAAACAATCTCTCGACTATAAAATAACGAAGTAATTAGTATTTACTAATGAAATCCGAATCATATTTTTTCTTCTCTTGATCTAACCTTTCTTTCAGACGGATAGAGAAAATTCATAATATCTAATGCTTGTTTGTTTGTTGTTAAACATAAAGCTATACAATGGGCTATATGTGCTAGGGCCACCTCTGGTATCGAAACCCGATTTTTAGCATTATAAGCCCACTGGCTTACCGCTGAGCCACTGGGGGTATAACTAACTGTTAATAGAGATTCAAGATATGATGAGAATGTTTTTTGTTTCTGTTTTTTAGCATAAGACTATAAAATGAGCTGTTGGTTGTTCTTTACACCGTAGGGAATCGAAACACGGATTTTAGCGTTTTAAATCTGGAATCTTACTACTTATGAGAATGAGTATTAGAAAAAGCATACTTTCTTTTACCGCTCATGAGCTCAGCGACTAAGTTTGTGATGTATCTCTCTTTATCTTTATGTCTAACTAATAAAGTATGGCTATAACATTAGATTTTTAGGTTCGATCCCCACAGGTAGCACATTGCATAGTTTTAGCGTTAAAGTAAAAAACAGGCATGATTCGTAACGTAACAATATCTACAGTTTAAGTTTAAACCTTAATTTCCATTCCTACTACCATAAGGAATTGATAGTGTAAGGAGGAGAAGGATTACAAAGCTATATAGATACTGACCAGTGTATTACAAAGCTATATAGATACTGACCAGTGTATTACAAAGCTATATAGATACTGACCAGTGTATTACAAAGCTATATAAATACTGACCAGTGTATTACAAAGCTATATAAATACTGACCAGTGTATTACAAAGCTATATAGATACTGACCCAGTATCTATATAGCTTTGTAATACACTGGTAAGTATTTATATAGCTTTGTTATACACTGGTCAGTATTTATATAGCTTTGGAATACACTGGTCAGTATCTATATAGCTTTGGAATACACTGATCAGTATCTATATAGCTTTGAAATATACTACCAGTGTATTACAAAGCTATATAAATACTGACCAGTGTATTACAAAGCTATATAGATACTGACCAGTGTATTACAAAGCTATATAAATACTGACCAGTGTATTACAAAGCTATATAGATACTGACCAGTGTATTACAAACCAAAATAGCAAACATAAAATTCGATTTTCAGTTATAAACACATATTTTCTCAAACGAAGTGGCCAGGTGGTTAGGGGGCTTAAATCCCAATCTGAGGGTCGCGGGTTCGAATCCCCGTCCCACCAAACATGCTCGCCCTTTCAGCAGTGGGGGCGTTATAAGTGATTGTCAATCCCAATATTCGTTGGTAATAAGAGTAGCCCAAGAGTTTGCGGTGGATGGCGCGATCTTTCACTGCTAAATTAGGGACGGCTAACGCAGATAGCCCTCGTGTAGCTTTGCGTGAAATTCACAACAAACAAACAAACTATTAAGTGTGTATTATTAAAATCTAAATCAGTTTCGAAATTTAATTTCGAGAACGCTGCGTTTCTGGAACAAAAGAATAAAAAAATCTCACAAGAAAAAGTAATATCACCTTAAAAATGTAAATTGATTTGTTTGTGAAATTTGTACACGTGTTTTCTGAGTGTATCAATAAATTTTCTGACGCATACCTTTTCATTGTATTGTCATGCTTTTCAGTTCGTATTTTCATGGCGTTAGATATGATTTATAATGTAGAGACAGACAGATTGCCGAACTGTTACAAGTTACAGCCTCCATTTAATACCGAATCAACTATAAAGTAAGGCACTAAAAAGTATGTATAACTTACATTACCAAAAGTATAACTATTCAGCCTATCTGAGAAAATAACAGTCGTGAGAAAGACTACGTAAATACAATATCGTGAAAATTATTTTTCATTCGTGGTGTACACTTCCTCGAGTCTGAAAATATTTATAAAGATGTTTTTGTAGGTTTGACTTTTCTCAGTGAAATAAGAAAGTTTTGTTTTTTTTTGTTTTTGGAATTTCGCGCAAAGCTACACGAGGGCTATCTGCGCTAGCCGTCCCTAATTTAGCAGTGTAAGACTAGAGGGAAGGCAGCTAGTCATCACCACCCACCGCCAACTCTTGGGCTACTCTTTTACCAACGAATAGT